CCTCCCTAGCCTTACTCCCACAAAACACAACTTACAGGGGAGGCCAAAAACGAGAGTTGCACATAATAATAACTTATTAAATTAGACCAATGACCAGTGCATAAAAAGAGACAATAAGGACTTATCTGAGGCAAACTCCCAACAGTCAACAAAGCATGACCGCCCTAGAACAGTCCAACTACAAATTGAAAATACGGGCTCACCATAGCCCGTGCTACTTGGAACTATTTGTTCCAGGTAGCAAATCTTTGACAACAACAACATAAAAATTGAATGCGCGTCTTCACGCTGCCGTTATAGCCCCGCTCCTGTGCCAGGTAAGTCCACTACGGGGTCACCATAGCCCGTGCTACTTTGGAACTTTTGTTCTAAGTAGTTCAATCTAACACAACTTCACGCTGCCTCAGAGGAGTCCAAATAATCATACCGAACGAGTTTGGGCGGAATAAATCAATGTTGCCTCACATACGCCTCTTGCAGTTTCCTTTATACTTACGTTTTAAAGTAGCTAATCACCCAAAAGAGAAAATGGGAGGAAAGGGTATTTAGGATAAAAATACGTTATTATTAATACGTTACATTTAATAACAAACCATTAAATTATTTAATTGTACGGGAATATAAATAATTTTTGTACATGTAAATATTACATGGTGAATTCAGTTTTAGATAATAAAACATATTAATAATTAATACTAATTATTATAAAATAAAACATCGCATCGATGTGACCAAAAGCTTAAGAACATTGTCCTCATGTGAGAGAAATGTTTAAAGTGACTGCATATGGCCAGGTGCCTGTATTTCACCAGTGCCTCCATGTGATGTCTGCATGTGACCTGGTGCCTGGACGTGACCTGGTGTCTGCAAGTGACCTGGTGTCTGCAAGTGACCTGGTGTCTGCAAGTGACCTGGTGTCTGCAAGTGACCTGGTGCCTGGACGTGACCTGGTGCCTGGACGTGACCTGGTGCCTGGACGTGACCTGGTGTCTGCAAGTGACCTGGTGTCTGCAAGTGACCTGGTGTCTGCAAATGACCTGGTGCCTGGACGTGACCTGGTGCCTGGACGTGACCTGGTGCCTGGACGTGACCTGGTGCCTGGACGTGACCTGGTGTCTGCAAGTGACCTGGTGTCTGCATGTGACCTGGTGTCTGCAAGTGACCTGGTGTCTGCAAGTGACCTGGTGCCTGGACGTGACCTGGTGCCTGGACGTGACCTGGTGCCTGGACGTGACCTGGTGTCTGCAAGTGACCTGGTGTCTGCAAGTGACCTGGTGTCTGCAAGTGACCTGGTGCCTGGACGTGACCTGGTGTCTGCAAGTGACCTGGTGTCTGCAATTGACCTGGTGTCTGCAAGTGACCTGGTGTCTGCAAGTGACCTGGTGCCTGGACGTGACCTGGTGTCTGCAAGTGACCTGGTGTCTGCAAGTAACCTGGTGTCTGCATGTGACCTGGTGTCTGCATGTCATTTAAAAATTATAATAATTATGATAAATTCTAAACATTTTATTCATATGAAAGTGTGATCAAAGAACATAAGATGAGCGGACAATAATAGGTACAGGGATTAAACATAAATATGAAGTCACTACTACGCAAAGGGATCTGGGAAAAAAAATTAATATTTGTACGGTACATGTCAACCCCAGTCCACCGCTCTACTTAATGAACTTACAGTCTCTTAGTAGGCTATATATAACTACAATAATGGCCTAAGTGATATAATTATTATGCTATGTAAAATTATTATGCAGACACGCCCTACAATAACTAAGGGTACAAGAGAATTTCTTGCTAAGAACAAAAAATGTATATTTCAAAAATAAGTGTATATTTCACATTAGTCCATATAGGTGAGGAAGATATCTTCCTGTATCTCATCAGCTCGATGTAAGGTAATTAATTATCAGGGAAAATGCCCCAAGCCGGTATGACTACATACCCTCATTAGTTTAAATAACGGAGCAAAATGAATATTTTGTGTATTCATTTCTGGCTACAATATGTAGCCAGAATTTAATCACCGGTAAAATACATCCCATCCTTTTCACACTACACTACAATACAATACACAGATCAGGGAGACTTCCTGTTAACTTTTCTGTCCGTTGTCAATACAAGTGTGCAAGTTAATTGCAATTATTTAATTTAATTTTCGTAAGTAAATATTTGGCTTCAAATTTGTAACCAATAACTTTTTATGTGCACTTCTTTCTTCAATTAACGTTGCCTTTACTACCGCTGTTGCCATCAAGCAGTATTAGTTCTAGTCCTCGGTATGGCACTGGTATGGTCATACAGTTTAGCAGCACCGTTGATCATCACCAGAATACCGTAGCTAAGATCATTCAGGTTCATCAGCGAGCCATCAAAGGATCTTCCTTTGCGAATTCGTCGAGCAACATCGAGTAGTACCCTCACCAGGAAGGTCACAGCGGCGAAGATGGCCACAGCTTCAATCCCTAATGAACTCTTGAAACCGCCTTCCCTGCCTTCCATCGCCATCGAATCAAAGATGACGTCTGTCTCACTCTCGTTGTGAACTGCGTCTGTATCATTGGTCCTGATCATAACCGAAGGTACCCGAAGAAGCGACAGAACAGGACTTGGAGTAAGATTCATTGAAGACATGCTTCCAGCACTTGTAACTTGACACTTATTTCTGTGATAGACTACACAAAAGTGCACATAACGCAGACATTCCAAATCTTAATGTCTTGTAAGTTTGCTGTGACTCAGGAAGTGGAGGACGCGTGGAGACGGGAGTGTGGTGCTCGTGTGCTCAACGCTGCTTACTGACTCACAGTCGCCACCGGAGCGGCCCTGCAGCCATTATATCTCCGGTACAGTTATGTCTCTCACACCACCGTCACACTTTACAACTGTATCTCGCTTCTGTTACGTATACTATTTGATCTATACTATGATTATACCTATTTGATCTGACGTTTTAGACCGTGTTGCGTAGGTCAGTATCCATGCAGCAATCCCTTTTACCTTTATTTCAATCGATGTTAGCTTGGTTTCTATTCTTAGGTTCAGTACCTTAGTCCATCTGGGAGCCCCTGTTATGACTCGCATTGCATCATTTTGAATAATCTCAACGTTTGCCCACTGACCAGGAGAAAGAGTAAGGCAGGCGCTGCATAATCAACTAGAGAACGAACGGGATATGTGTAAAACTTTTTAACACTGTGTCCCGCTCCTAGACTGGGCCCTGTGTTGCTCTCATTATATTCAGTCGTGATTTTGCTTTCTCCTTCAGATTTGAATTTGCTTGTTGAATGTCATTTTAGAATCTATCCATAATTACTGAAGCATGACTATGTGCTACCGTCTATCCAAAAAATATAAAACTTACCCAAAAAATTGTAGGTCAAATTGGGCTAGAGCTTTGGTATCTTTGGATCTCTGAAAGAATTCATATACTTTACAGACGGATCAGTAGACCACCAGAGGCAAGTATCTGGAGCTGTAGTTAAGGCAGGAAATTCTGTACTGTAGTTAGTTGGAGACTCAAACTACCCTAAGAAGACTTTGCAAAATAAAGGGCTATGCCAGGATAGCTTTATAGCAATACTCGTAGCCAAATTATGTTAATCCTTTGAAAGCATTTATAAGTCTATTGGTTTATTTTCTTGCATCATAAATTAGTTTGACACATTTTATGAAACACTGGATAATAATGTTAGTTCATGTTTGCATCAAATTAATCGAGTTTTTTTCACTTGCCAATTTTCAGGCATTTTATATTCCAAGGATATTTTCATTATTGTCTTAATTCACTAAATGGACTTCTCCTAATTCAGGTACAGTACTAGTCTTGTTGCAAGTAATTATCACAAGAGAGTGCCATGTCATATTACAGTAAAGTCCAGCGGTTCCCAGCCGTTTTCTAATACTGTAAAGACCTGTAACAAATTAAACATAATACCAGTAAGTCCAACTGTGTCCGTATCGAGTGTTTTCTAGATAGCTAAAAAATAATCGACCCGGTAGTCAGTCCAAACTGTTGGGTCATGGGAACCACTGCTGTAAACAATAAACACAACTATTAAAAGTTCCTACTTTTCTTGCCGAACCTTATGAAGGTTGAAGAACACCGTCTTAGGGTGTAGATCCCATCTGACCTGAATTCCCTATTCAGTCTTGTACTTATAACTTTTACATGTGTGTGTTTACTACAGTATTCTCCAGCCCACTTGTCTTTACATTTTGGCTACTTTGAACTTTTTGTTTAGAGTAGCCAAATCTAACATAACAACGGCTCTGCAGCATTTTATCAACCTGGAACTTTATATCACGTTAGGATTTTTGCCACCTGATGTGCATCAGTGGGCTGGCAGTTTCCACTACAGTATATCCTTTAAATTTTTCTAGACCGATATCTAGTTCTCCTTAGCTCATTGCTGTTGAACTCCAAATCAGCATTTTTTAAATGTCTTCAATGCTTTTCAGGCACAACCAGTTAATTTGGGAAACAAAAACTATATTTCTTACAAATCACATCAAGGATCTAAATACATCATTATGCTTTATTTACAATGTTTCTATAACCCAAGAATTTGGCAGTCATGAAAGAGGAGTGTCTTTGCAGCAGGTAAACTGTTCCAGAGAGCATTGATCTGGTTGCTTATGTGGTATATGGATAGCGAGAAAGAATTACTAGGGATACGTTGTAGACGCCGATTTACTAAAATGGTGGTGGTAATAATCCTTGATGTAGATGTTGGAAAATAGCATGGACAGACATCATTGAATACTAATCCTTTTTCCCAACATTACTACTATAACCAATAGCAAATATCTTTTACAAGAGTAAAATTGGGTAAGGATACACTATTTCTAAAAAAAGCTACATACACAAATCACTGAGGAACATTAAGTGCCAATGTTTATTTCGAAACACAAAAACCCACTAAAGATATACACAACATTATGTTGGTGGACATTGCGAACACCAATGCAATTAGGAAAATTTTTGAAATAAAAAATGTAACGCAGATGATACAATTTATTGATACGGAGTGGAAGTTTATTTACAATAGGCCTCAAACGTATTTGCCACGAGGCTCTCAATCTAAAAAAATTAAGTTCATTTAAGGAGCAGTGGTCTCAAATATTGCAAATACCTTAATGGATGTCTTGATCAGAAAGTGTGTTTGGAAATTATCACAACTTGCCCAAGACAGCCAATAAGTGTATTAAAATTCTTTAAATGCTTTAAATATTCTGTTATAATTGTCAACAAATGGTCTACATAACCCTTTATTAAAGCCAGCCACTCATGCATAGATCTTTAAGCTTATGAGCACAAAATTCTGGCAACATCTAGCATATTGAGTGATATCCATGTATTTTACTACATTCCACTTTTTATTTAATGGGTAAAATTACAATTCGTTTCTATAAAGAAATGCATATATATCCTGCATTAGGCAGATCTTTTAACCGTAATGCCTGTAAGAATCTTCCTAAATTACTCTACTTGTTTTTGGAAATAACTAGCTACCGAGGGCTGACTGGAAAGAAACATGCTACGAGACTCAAGACTGTCAAATTACCCTGGAACACACAAAAGAACTGGAGAGGGTATGTGCAAGCTCACAGAATAACAAAGGAGCCAGACAACCAAAGATATATATGTACAATGCAAATGATAGGGGGCCCCAAATTATTATTCCGAGGTACATAAACTGTAATGAAACGAGTGATTGTGTGAATCCCTACTTCTCAAGCTTCTACAAAACCCCTAGATGCGAGCTGGCTAGATATGTATAAAAATAGGCCCACAGCACATGACCAGGGAAGAGCAGCATCAGAAGTTGGGACCTGAGACAGTGTGACATGCAGAGGTACGAACCACCAAATTCCACACCACTACTTCAGCAATAATTCTTACATTTAAGTGGCACTCTCAGCCAAACCACCACACAACTTTCTATAAGGCAAGAAAATTCTCTACTCACAGAGCAGAAAAATAGGAGAGGTAGTCAAATTGAAACCTCAAAACTGGTTGGTTGTGAAATTATAAAGTATGAAATTTATATGGAAGTATTTTATAAGTTTGTCATAATTAATCCATTCCAAAAATTAATTATTGAACACTAAGTACCTAAAAGTCTCCTCAGAGTAACTAGACACGTGAGCAAGATAGTTTGGTAAGAAGTAAGCTGAAGGAGTTCCAGAATTTGGGATAATGTTAAAAAGACACCAAACTACGGGATTCCGCAAGCTTTTCTTTGGTACTTATACTGATGTGTTAAAGGTGCTCTGCTTCCAAAATGACCGACTCAAAAACTAACTAGGCCTAAGATCAACGTTCACATTTTACTTTAGGCTTCAGACCATTCATGTCATGAGAAAAAATAAATAATGATTAACCACTGTCAATAACCACACAATTTCTGTTTTACTGGACTGCCAATTTTAATATCAAGAAAATAAAGTACCATTATGAAACTTTAAATTCCAACAACAAATATCCAGACATAGCAAGCCACACTAAGAATATTTGCATTTTTTTTTCTCTTTCTGACAGACATAACAAGCAACAATTGATAATAAAGTCTGCGAAAGGCAGAGCACCCACAAAAAGTATTTTTTATCCAGAGTACATTGCCATACAAGACAAAAAGAGTAAGTTATCATACCTACCCATGTTAATACAATTTCACAAAATATATATTCCAAATACGAATGTTAACCCATACAAATCTGTAACAAAGACATCATCTCACATAACAGATAAGCTATGGTAACGGGCATTTTTATATTAAATATCACTGGATTACACTAGTTTTCGATAGAAAACAGCAATATAAATAAGAATTACACGCATTATCATATCCCAAACCAGAGTATTTTACTAACAAGGTTAAGCTGGCATATAAGAGGGACACTGTGCCAATGCTGTGAAATTGTCCCTAGATAGTATTTTTTTTTTTTTAGGGATGAATGTGCACTTAGGGACACTAGACCACCGCAGTCACCCGTGTAGCTACTACCACAATTTGGAATGATCCATAATAAATAAATTCTTTGCTATTCAGACAGCAAGTGAATAAATTCACGAACACCACATCTATTATTTCAAGATCCAGAAAAAAATGTGCTTGGGTAAAATAGTTCCCAAAACCATCAGAGTCCATGAAAATCACGCTTCATACTACGACCAAATGAAAATATAAGGTGCTACCCATTCCCTAAATAACCCTCCAATCAAAAAATGGAATCGGTAGGAAAAATTCTCTACCTATAAATATATATTTTACTATACACGCAGTGTATGATATTAAAATATCAGAGCAAACTTACTGTTATGAACTATTCTAAATATCTCTGATGAACAAAAACAATGCGAACTTTTGTGTAATATTTTGAAATTTACTTATTACTAAATATCAAATATCACTTATAAACAATTTCAGATAACAACAAACATTATCATATCTTCTTTCTTCCAAATCACATTATTAAAGTTATTTCACTAAGGGAAACATAATGGCTGCCTTGTAAAAGCTATATCACCTGAACTTCAACCTCAGTAAAGAGTGATGCAATAAACCTTATAAGGAATAATTTACAAAAATAAACCTATAATGGCATTAGCATCAAAGGAAACCTCATAAGTGACAATAAAATTATGCAGCAGGTGATTCTCTGAAGATGCATCGTGCTCTGGATATAATAGCAAAGGTACACTATCAACTTTTTCAATTCTTATTGTAGCAAATGTATAACATGCTTTATTATAAACTGAAACAAAGCTAAACAATTGAAGGCCTATAGATAAGAATAATGAACTACGTGGTAAGATATTGGTGCAGTGCAACTTGCTGCTCTTGCGTTAACTGACTTATGCATGCCTGGAACATGTCTGGGTTGGCTTGTAATTGTCGAACAATGTTGAGCATGCGTTTTGTTACATCTGCGTCTTTCTCCACTGCTTCCCTCCTAAATGCCTGTGCAAAATGAAAGTTTACTATTAATATTAAAATTTTCATACAAAAAATTAATGCTTTAGCATACTTAAATAAAGTTTCCTATAGCTGTAATTGGTTACTGTGATTCACTTCATCATTCTAGCTTCTAATCTTTTATTTCTTCACTTTGCTCTTTTGCATCTTCCACACTTCCAAATTTATTCTCACCATGCTCCTTGGCATTTCTTTCTGCAGCCCATCCAAATGTTATAGTAATGATGAGGATCACGGTATATATACCGATGTATGATGAAATTAGAAATCTACACAATTGAGTTGGACAAACCAAAAACTATTTTATATTTATGTTGCAAAGAAACTAACCTAACCTTCCTAGGCAATATACACCATATTTGATGCCCAATATAGTACGTATGTGTACTATACTAGGCCTAGGAATATTCAAGTATGTTTTTTGGCTTCATTTTCTAATTTTATTAAAGTGAATAGTACAAAGTTCTACCTAATGGCTTAGAACAACAATCTTTGTACTATGGTGCACATAGTTATTAAAACTACTATCTAAATAAGAGAATGGGTTGCTTTCTGTTTCTCCTTGAATTGTTTCAAATTTATTCTTGCTTTAATTATGGTTTTTACTTCAAATAAACCTACAATTGCACGCCATGTATCTAGACCTAAGCTTTGAGGACCATTGATCACTAGTGTTATGCACCTTTGCTCGTGTTGAGTTTAAAATATTTTTACATCATTAGTGAAAAAAATCAACTGAAACGGTTAGGTGACACGAACCTACGACCAATGGACTGCCAGCTGCTATCTCTACTGGCAGCTACCACTGGAGCATACCTGGAGATGGTTTCAGAAGACCTTACTCCCCAAGCCCGACCTGGAGCCAGGCTCGACTTGTGATAACCAACAGGCTGTTGCTTTGAGTGACCCACAGCCCCACATATCCCCTACAATCCAGTTGGTCCCCCACTTTTTGCAAGAACGTGATCTAAGTGCTTCTTCAAGACTTCTCCCTTTGTTCCAGGAATATTTCTAATGCTTACTGAGAGAACTGAACAACCGCAGACCTCTGATGTTCAGTGTTCTCTGATTATGCCTATGGCACCTCTACATCTCACTGGTTCGATTCTGCATTTCCTTCCATATCTTTTGCTCCAGTATGTTGTCATTGTACTGTGCAAATTTGGGACCTGGCTCATGTATTATCCATGTATATATTACTCGAGACTTCTCTCATCTCATTTCCAGAGTACTGTACATTTTGAGATCCTCGAGTCGGTCCCAATAACTCTGATTATAAAGTCATCCAAGCTAAAAATCTGATGATGGCTTCGCTGGTTGTTGTTTAAAATTAAGATTCGCTACCTGGAACAAAAACTTTGTTTACGCAACCATGCATCACAGACCTCTTCTGCCTCCTTATATATTGAGTGCTTCTTCGAATTGGGGCCTTTGGTGACAAGTAATTTTGTGCTAGAATTATCGGTTAAAACATTTTGGTTATGTTCAAGGATGCTCGTTTCATATAATGGCAAAATACACAAAATTATTAAGATTCATCAACAAAACAAAAATTAGTTTACCTCTGAGAAGATGGCCATTAGCCTTGGTAAATTAGAATTATTTAGTCCTAGGACAAGTGGATGATTCCCATCAATCAAGTCGCACAGATATCCATATACATGTGGAGCTTCATCTGTATCTTCCCAAACAGGCAACCATGACATCCAAACTGGAATTACCTAAAAGAAAAAGCAAATTGAAAAAACAGGAAGATACATCCAATGAGATATACAATGAAGAAAATTAACAACTTTGATTGCACAAATGCAAATGAGAGGTATCCTAGGGCTGGCAGATCTCTTTAAATATAAACAAGTAGATGCAGTGTGTACACAGGATGTATAGTATACATCTAGTTTAAGGACTAATGAATGCAAACCAGTACACTGACCCAGAGTTAAACAAGCAGTATTTTATTTAATAAGAATTTACAATGTGACATAATATGTTCCCCTATTATTTTTGCCATCCTGCTCCAAAGATTTTAATTATCACATTATTAATATATTCCATATAACATAAACTTTGTTAAGTACAGATAATTTTCTTCACTTATCACAAGGAAATTATGACCAGAAAGCACTAATCCAGTATGAGCATGTAGCATTTGGAAGGGATATAAGGGCAAAGTGCTTGGACCATCTGGGATGATCTCATTAGTAGGCAAAACAACCCATGCCTACTAATGATCACTCCTAAATACTCCACAAGCACTGGAACTTTGAGATCCACCAAGGATTCAATCATGTATTACCAGGCTCTCAAGTTCTCACTATCAAGTCATGTGGAGTCGCCTGAAGTGTGGCTAGTGGCCAATTTACTGGCGAGCAAAGGGTCACGAGTTTCAGCCATTGTAAATGAATGGATAATAGCACACTGGTGAAGATAGGTTAGGTAAACTTGCAGAGAGGTGTAATGGAAGGCCAAAAAGATGAGCAGAAATGGCAAGTCAAGGTTTGAGAAAGAAAGGAGTGGTGTGAACACAGGATACGGTAAACGACAAGGCTGGGCGGAAGAGTTTTGAAAGGAGTTATCATATATATTTTATACAAATACGATAATTGATGAACACTGACATCAGGCTTCAAATTTTGCAGTACATATTATAATCCTTTCCCCTGACCAGCATTAATAATTTACAAAGAAAAAATTATTTTTGGATTCATACAAAATAAAGATTGTAAAAAATAAGCAAAATGTTTCAAGCGTTGTAGTACATATTAAAAAAAGAAAAAACTTACCTCATCGACATTGATTGCCGATGCATTGTATTTAAGAATTTTTGTAACGGCAGCAATAGCATTCTCTGTGGGGTTCAAATTGACTTCATTGCGAGCATCTGGGTTTTGAATAACTTGCACCAAGAGAGGAATGGCTTGAGCGCACACAGGTGCAAATGCTGGACCAGCAAACTGACCCAAGACACCACAACCATAAGCAGCTGCTTGTCGTACTTCCCCTTGTTTATCTGCTACAAACTTCAGCAATGCCTGGAATTTAAGACAAATCTCAAAAATACAGATCAAGTTGGGAGCACTAATGCACCTCTGTAATATCTAATAAAAGTTTAGTAAAACTCAATACCTTAGTAATAGCACCTGTAAAGGCTGAAAGATATTACATGCAAAATAAGTCATTAATTTATTGCTTTATCATGGGTTATTAATTAAGCTTTTTACTTTGTGAGGAGGTTTCACTCGGTAGGAACATGGGAATGATCTGTAACAATGGTATTCTATATTAACATTCGTACAATGTTTATTCATCATCTCCTAGCATCCACACCTCACTGAAGTGGAAAATACCACCACGTGTTTCAAGAAAATATAATAAACAATTAATTGAAATTGATACCACTAAGCACATGTAGCCTTAAGGCCCACCTCTCCTAAGATGATCACAATCCAGTTTCTTACTTTCATGGTGCAGAGGCATAAGGTTTGGAAAAAATTAAGAGCACTACATATATATTAAAAAATCATACAAGTTATCATTTATTGCAAGGCAAAAAAAGAATGACAAAAGTTCCCTACTATTTCATAGTTTTCTTCTCTTCACCACAAATACAGTACTGTATTTCACCTTTGGCAGTCTTCTTTCACATATAACAAAACTTCCAAAAAATCCTACAAGTCTTATAGAATTACATTACCTTGTAAAAGAATTACATATATATATATGTATATTTTAGATATATTCCCAATATATGCCGACTCCACATTTGTTAATATTCTTATTTTTTCCCATATGACCCAATCCATGAATATATTGTAGAACTATGGAGACATCTCACAGCACTGACAAGACCTTACATTAACAACAAACCACTTGTAACAAAGTCTTACCAATGTTTCACTTCTTTAATGAAAGCTGCTCACTGTGCTTACTTATCCTCACTCTACCATATTTGTCTTGCTTATTAAGATATTAAGATATGCCTCACCTGAAGAAAATGATCAGTGTACTTGTCACATGCTGGGCCACCATATTCAATAACATCATCAAAAATGCAGAGTCCCCATTGATGATCTGGCCATGGTCTGTCATCACCCAATAGCTTTACAAAGTGAGGAAGAAGTGCATCAAAGAAGGGGAAGAAATGTTGACCATACGCAGCAAATAGTGCATGCGTGATGTCGGCAACCTTGCTCAAGACATACACATCTTCATCGTCCTCGTCTAAAAGCTGCTCTTCTACAACCTGAAAAGTAAAATTATTTAGTTTACACTTAAAATTCAGTTGCAATCCTCCAACTGAATGCTGGAGCTGAATCCACATTTGGATTCAGTGGGAGCATTCAGCATGTAGATTATGCACAAAAAATGTGTTTGAGGAAGGTTGAGAAATCGAACTCTTAACCCCATAAACTGTTAGATAATTTGTATGTGTTTTGGCAACTATATATAAACCCACTTCCAAGAATATTACAGAACTTACATTTAAGTAATTTAAAGAATACACCAAGTACATATCGCACACCACTCCCTGCAGACACAAAGGTAAGCACAGGCAACATGAAACCAGCCATTACACATCAAACTATACATTTTTAGTTAGTTTTGAATTATTGGGGGGTCATCTTATCCTATGCTTTAGCTATACTTAGTTTTCACTTCAAACTCTGAGAGCTGCTTTGTTAGTAGTGTCAATACCCTGGTTCATCTTGTTATCTTGGATCACACATTGTTGTAGTGTATATTAACTCATTTAGGTCTGGTTACCTAAAGCATATTTAAACTAGTATGGTAACGTAGTACATTATTAGGTGAAAGCATAAGCCTGTTTACTACTGCATACTTATCATATTTTAAGAAAAAGTTAATTCACTGTGTAATTCACAATTCACTAACACTATATAATCATTTGAACCAATTTTAGTGTTATGGTTTCCTCTCAAAAGTGTTCTTTGTCTAAATGTACTCTATTCTTACTGTACTCTAGGTAGTCCACATTTAGTTTCAAATGTGCAACATGTTTTGAATTTACTGATTGTGTCTGCTACTGTATGATAAAAACCACTTAGAGCTGTTTGAAATTAGCACAAATGGTGATAGTAGAAACTTAACATGCAAGATTGAATGAATGTTTCACATAAGTTGTATAAACCAGTTTGTTAGCGTGATCCTGCATTATGTATTGTGAAAGATGTGCCAAGGAATAATGTGATATCTTCCACAATACTGTAGTAGAAGACTGCACAGGTATTATTTCCCCTTTCAAAATGTCCTGCTTGACTCATGATGGTTAGTGTGTAAAATTACTTACAACTTGATGTATATTTATAGGTCACCCAATAGTTAAATTTTCACACTAGAGAGACTTTCATACCAAGACATTTCATACTTTCATAATGTTAATCACTGTTTAATTAAAAGTATACTCTAATCAGAATGGGTACATACCTCATCATAATCTTCATCTTTCCGTTGCTCTTGTCTTTTTACAGCCCTTTCAAAGTGTTCCTTAAGAGATTTATCAACAATTCTAATAAGCTCATTGATCTGGTCATTTGTAAGACAACCCATACCTAGAACCTCTATGCACTTTGCCATGGCATACATATGTTCTGACAACACTTCACTTTCAGGTTCTGTCTCTATTGCTTTCAATAACTCGGGGCACATATATTGCCACATTTCAGCCAAGTACTGTGGGCCCTTTATCTTTGCACATTCCAACAGGAATGGGAGAGATTCTGCTGCTGCTGTCCTTACACCATCGTGGAAGTAGAATTTAAGCATTGGAACCATTAATTTCACAACCTGTAAAATTTGTAGACTTTAATTCAGATGCAGTACAATTACAAAGAAAAATAATCTTTATACCAAATACAATATTGAAGAGTAGCGATTTATCATTCTAGAAATACTCATTACACTATATTCTTTAAATAACAGAACCTCTTCATCTGCAATACAATTTTTAATTTCATGCCATTGTCAAAAGTAAATACAAATAAATTATATTGAATTGATATATTACATATAATACTACCACCATAGAACACAACACTGGTGCTTCTTACTTGTTCTGTATAGTCAGCAAAACCTTCCTTTAGTTCCCTAGCATAACATACAAGCATTTGGCATGCAGTGGCTTTCTCCTCTAGCCCAGCTGTACGAATGCCAAAATTCTGCTGCTCCCCGATGGATACGAACTGCCAATCATCATCGCCATCCACTGCATTCATATCTTCATTATCTAACAGTGCGACCTGGAGAAAAGTATGCACTATGTATTCTTCTTGTTTACCATGATTGATGGCAATTAAAGAACAAATATATATGTATTTGTTAAATAAAGAAAGAGCACTAGTACTTTTAATTTGGATTTTTTTTGGCTGTTAAGTTACCTTGACATGAAGGAACAAATGAAACCCAAAACCTATTATGCTCATTGGTTGAATATTATGATGATTTTTTATATTTAAAGAACATAAATGGTCAGATAAAAGTGTTTGTGGACCACGATATTTATTATAGATTATTAAATTTCATATGTAATTTTTTTTACTAATATTGTCTTCAGTATTTATAAATGCCATTTATTTAAGGGTCTTTCTATTACAAATTTAAATGTGCATTTTAATCTGTTTTGTTTTTACCATGGTGGAAAAATGTTACAGCGTACCTGCACCAAAAATAATAAATAATTTAGACCTGACACCAGCAACTAAAAATGATAAAAGCAATTCATACCTCTGGTTTTAGAGAGGCTGTCTTCAAGACTGGTCCCATAACTAGTGGGAGGTATGGCTCAAAGCGTTTTCCCATAATCTTGCAGATCCGAGCCCAGGCAGAGATGAGGTAGGAGACTTGTGGATCATCATCAGCCATTTCTTCGCGGTTAGTTTGGGCTTTTAGAAGCAGATCCATCATCTTTCCAGCATCTGTCAAGAACTGTGACAATTGCCAGAATTAGTACTGTGATTATGTTTGGTAAAGGAAGTTTACAAATATTAAAATATTGACTACTTTGAATTTTTGTTACATACTATGGCCAATTTGCCACATAACTCCTTGTGTACACACCGTCAGTATTTTTAATTAATTACTAACCAAACAATTTCACTATCAAACTAACTGATAAAAACTTTTAAAAGGCAAGATAAATTGAATATTTTTTTATTTGAAATTCAATATTGACTGGCATTAAATGGTAACAAAACTTGAAACTGTTATTCTAATTTAAACACAGTACAAATTGTGATATTTTAAATTTTTGACAGCTAAAATCTTTCACTTTCTTCATCTCTATGCTGATGCCTCTCCACCCCACGAGAGGGGTAATAATAAAATAATATTGATAATATTTAAGTTCAAAACCATAATTTTATGTATAATACTCAAGCCAACAGAAAATCCTATCATGGCTGTTTTCTTTGAGTGTGATGGTATCGAGTAGCTGTCATGTCTGATTTCCCAATTATGTTCTCTATTCCTCCAGGCTGTTCTCTCATTATTTAATATGGAAAGCTAAATGATGACGAAGACTCCTTCAGAAGATCAATCACTTTAATTTATGTACATTACTTAAGACATGATTAACATTACCTTATCTGCTCCAACTGCAAGACCAATCAGCGATACACATTCAATAGTCTTTCCTCGAAGAAGCCTTAAATCTGTCGAGTTGGCATTTTCAATGATGTACATCAAGCAAGGGATGAAGCGATCATAATATTCAACAAATTTCTCCTCGGCTGTATCAGCAACAGATGCAACGGTAGTTACAACCTGCTCTAACACTAATTTCGTACCACACTCCATTAACTGAAAAAAAGGAAGATTTATCATTCAGCAATTCAAACAAATTTTCATCAGTCTTTGTTAATAAAGCATTTGTGTTTCAATAAAAAAAAAAAGTGCATTAGATTTCTTCAGCTAATAACCACTCAGAGTCCATCACTGATAATTCTTTATACCTGGTTGATGGGGTTCTGGGAGTTCTACTCCCTACTTGTGAGAGTTTGGTCCACTAAACTAAACCACTATACTAAAATCTTAACACATATGTTTACCTCAATTCTAAGCTACACCCTATGCAGAGTCATTACATTAAAATATATCCAAATGAAATACCAGCATGAAAAACTGAAAAATTCCTATTTGCAGCTTTTTTCTTTGCTGAACATCATACAAATTTCTCTGAAGGCATAGAAGGAAGGAAGGGGAGCTGGAAGAAAAAAAAGTAGGATAAAGAAAGGAGATAAAAAAAAACAGTAATTGTAGGATTAGAAGGGAAAGTCAAGCTATGGAAGCAATACATGATATTTTTAATTTCTTCCTTATGCTTCCTTGTTCTAATTATATAAATGCAAGGATAGTAAGAGAACAATGGTAACTACCAAAAACTGCCAACTTCCTCAATACCAGTAACGTATTACACTGTTCTTTACGTACTCTAACAAAATTTATACACTTTCTCTCCTAAAATTAATAAAAGACAAATAAAAAATTATGGTCGTTAATACGAGAAAATTGTACTTTATTAATATTTCATATTATAAAGTGAAACAATTTTATTCGTATCGTTGATTTAGATCAAGTGCATAAATCTACGTACAGTATATGAACAATTGCGATAGGTTACCAATATTGTACTGAAGACTTAACGCTTAAGGCACTGACATACAAATGAGAAAAAACTCCTAAGCAGACCTGGTATAAAAGGTCAGTTGGCAAGACAAATAGAACATACCCTTGCAATTTGCACTTTTTTGTTATTCAAAAGTAACAGAATTAAAATATTAATAAAAATTCTATAATTTTTGTAGATTCTATAATTTGAACTGATCAAGGTATTGACAATACCTTCATTAAGTTAATTATACCTGAAATTATCACATTAAATAGGTTTCTGTCTATGGGCTTACCTCTTTAAATTTTGCAGCAAGAATACTCTCCAGCTTCGCAATAATTGTGGGAAGGTATGTAGTGAGGATGTTCTTTGGACAAACTTCTGAGAAGTTGACAAGAGCTGCCCCTGCATGCGCCTGCACAAAAAAATGATCCACAATACATGATTTATTTCTAATGCCAAACTGATTATATCAAATGCCTCATCCTAATTAATAAAATTGTGTCGAATGCAAAATAATAATCATTTATGTGAGGCTCTCAACTGGCCCATTTAAAATTAGTTTACTTATTCGCTGGATAAAGAAAGCATACTGAGAGCTAAATTATTATGAATTCTTTTCCATCTTTTCACCCTATGTTTGAGCAATTATTTGAGGAAAAATCACTAACCTGAACACGTGGATTTACACCATCATCCATGACGTGCAAAAGGCCTGGAACAACAATTTCGTGGAATTTCTTCTGAAAAATGGGTGCAAAGTCTGTTGCCATCTGCCCAATTGCATTACAAGCAGCATATCGAACTCTGGGATGGGGATCTTGCAGGAATCTAATAACTGCATCCATAATCTGAAATGATAAATTTTAAACATTTATAATTAAACTTTCATGTGGCATTACATTATTAATAAACACCAGTACACTGCATTGTCAAAAATATGTACTTCTATATAACAAAGCCCTTTGAAATAACTGATCAAATCCACCCATTCAAATACAAATTCAGATATAATTACTGTGTTTAACCCCTAAACTGTGCAGCTTCTTAAATGTATTGGTGCAAATAACTAAAAAAAAAAAAAAGTTAAATCAAATGAGAATAGTAAATGGCAATTGCAGCATATGAGGAAATTGCAGATAGCAACTGGGAAAGTGTATGGGCTGAAAGGTAGTAGGCATCCTTCAGTCTCAGGAGACTATGTGACAACCAGTGACAACCCCTTGGAACCAGGGGCTGAAAGGTAAACAGTTCATTAATAACATACCTGTGGCAGCATGCCTTCCATTTGTTTATGACATCCTTCCCCAACAGCTGATATCGCCATTAGTGCAGCATGTCGACATTTCCAGTTATCACTTTGTAACATCTGGGACAATGTTGCATTTATGTGTGGCAATACTGTTTTGCCACCAAGACCACAGGCAAGGCGATCTAGAGATGACTCGGCCACAACAGAATTGCTGTCATTGTCTTCTTCAGCTTGTTCATCACTTATACTCCATTCCTGGAACCAACATTTGCAATTTAGTGCAAGAATGGTGCAATGGCACTATACAAAATTGGGCAAAATGTACTTATATATTTGTGCTGTATAAAAAGAACCCATGCATACCAAGCTACATGACCACCGTGTTCACATTATCTGAGTCAGTGTCAATTACGAACAACATCTCGGAATTAAGAATCGAGAATGAATAGCGAGATCCAGCTCAGGAGCCCCACCTCATAGCTATAGTCTACTTTTCCTTAATTTAAAAACTTGATCCATTACAATTTAAACCTTCCAACATTTATGTGCAGTAATCTGAACTGTTCATTGGATTTAGCTATACGAAGTCATTTTCAAGCTGCTTCCTATTATCTTGAGTTCTGATGTACTCATTTCTGGCTTTAACATTTCCTCCCTGTTTTTATTCTGTACTCCATTATCTATATTTTTCCAAGCTTTATCATTTCTGATCTTAGTCTTGCATTGTCAGAAAAGTTCAAAACTCCCTAAGGCTAGGAGGTTGCACCATAAAGAGCCAGATTTTACTTTCCTTTAGTTACTGTCATTTAAGCAAAGGTCTAGCTCCTTTATGATGTCTTCCAATCATTTTTCACCTGGTTATCGTCTCTCTTCGAGATGATTTCGGGGCTTAGCGTCCCTGTCCAGGCCTCATTTTTGTTACACACCCCCAGGAAGCAGCTGTAACTCCCAGGTACCTATTTACTGCTAGGTAACAGAGGCATCAGGGCGAAAGAAATTTTTTCCATTTGTTTCCGCCTCCACCGGGGATTTAACCCAGAACCTCAGGGCTATGAATCCGAAACGCTGTCCACTCAGCTGTCTGATAACTTATCTAGTTTTCTCTTGGAGATCTTCACAATTGTTTTGGCAATATTTCTTATGCTTGCTGGAAGGATGTTGAACAACTGTGGACCTCTGATGTTTACACAGTGTTCTTCAATTGTGCCTAAAGTACCCCTGCTCTTCACTGATTTTATTCTGCATTTACTTCCAGTATGTTTTTATTTCGCAGTGTATATTTGAGATTTGTTCCAGTTTCCAGACATTATTCTGTCCGGGTTGCAAACAATATTAGTTATATCTATCACTTGCATCCTCTTTCTATTTTTGGCAATATCATTCCTAAGAATCTTATCTATTAGATGATCTATACATTTATTATTGATCCTATTAGTTGTTCTAACTCTGATGTTCCCTGCCTCCTCTTTTCGAAACTATGAACATCCAAAATATGCATAGATGTCTGCCAGTAGTCCTGCGAAAAATATAGTCAACTAAGTATTGTTAACTTTTCTTTACCGTCTCTTCTGCTTACCCACTTTCAGCTGTCTGGCAAGGTCTCATTTTACCTTTCCTTGGGTAATATCTTCGTACACACATGAAGACACTATTTCCTCTTACAGCCTAAGTGAAGAACATTATACAAGACTGTCATACACCATCTCCAAGCTGTAGCTAGCACTAACATGATCACTCAAGATAAAAGGTTGTCAAACTTACTTTGCATTTCATTAAATTAAATAAACATTACATAGCTTACCTCTTCATCCTCCAAATCAGTCATCATATTGAGCATTTGAGGTATGAGCGTGTTCATGTACTTGGCTCCAGCTTTGCGTACCATTGCAGGAGCAGTCTCGGCCAGCGTTACCACCACCTCGAGGAGAAGGTGCTTCCAACTGTCACCAACATTAGGATCTGGTAAAGCCTGTAAAATTTAACGGGAGTAAATTTCATTTTAAAATATAATTAGAATATAGAAACTATAAAATTAATGACTATGCCCATGACTGATTTGGGCAAGTTCTAGTTGCTTCATAAATACCTATCTTATTTTTATCACAAAAGCTTTATATGTTTTTAATAATTATATAATTTTACCTTAATTGCAAGTTGTAATATAGTTTCCACTTGTGGTCTTAAAAATTTTGGACAGCTTTCAGCCAAATCCACCAGGCACTTCAGAAGACCATCATCTTCACCCATCTGGATGCTATTGGCAATGATCTGTAAGAAAGTGTATTTTTATAAATTACTGAAATATATAGCTATCAAGATATAAGAAACTGTGAACTCATTGGATTTGACAACACACACAGGTTATGTAACACTGTGGCTGTTGGGGGCCCCCCGAGAGATACCGAGTTTACACCCAGTATACAACAGGTTCCAAATAATGAACAATTCATTTGCAACATAAACACCTGCTTGATGGGGGTTCTGGGAGTTCTACTTCCCAAGCCAGGCATGACTTGCGAGAGCTTTGTTCAACAGACTGTTGCTTCGAGCGATCCACAGGCCCACATATTCACCACAGCCCGGTTGGTCTGGCATTTCTAGAATTTTTTTTTTAGTTTTCTCTTGAAGATGTCCACGGTTGTTCCGGCAACATCCTCCCAACTCGCTGGGAGGATGTTGAACAACTGTGGACCTCTGATGTTTATAGTGTTCTTTGATTGTGCCTATGGCACCTATCAAACAACACAATAGTCTATAAAAGGCAATTTTCATCTGCAGAAAGTGTTACAAGTTACCAATCCTGCTCCACACCCATGCAACTGGGCAGTAGGATTAGTCACGTGTATACATTCTCTGCAACTTTGGATACCTGGCTAAAATTTTTGGAAGAACAGTACATCATTTTAAATGAAGAATGAAAACCACCACATGGTTTGATAGCTGTTGGTCTTGAGGTAGGTGAAATGCAAGTCATTGGCTTTACAAATATGTTGTTCTATTACTCTCAAGACATTAATGTATGGTTTCATTTACCATTACAAATTATTATTTTGGTTTTGCTTTCCTATTAACTCTAAATTCCCTACATTTAAGGCAGTTTTTGACTGATGCCCAACTTTATCAATGCCAAAGTCACAAGTGCTTATAAATCCCAAGTTTTAGGTTCTCATCTCAATAATTACCTGAAGAAACTGAGGGAGAAGATCTGCAAAGTTCTTCTGAATATTTGGCTCATTGTCATGCAGGAGAATAAATGCTGCGGTGGCCTTGACTGCCAGAGCCTGGAGAGGAACGTTAGTATTGTCTGCCAGAGAGGTGGTTAGCATAGCTTTTATCATCCCCAAATGTTGCTGCTGCTGATTGCCAAATACTCCTGGTACCAAGCTGTTAAAAGAAAATGTTTACCTCTTAAAATTTATTTGACATGAAAATATACAAGAAATAGAAGGAAATAAGCAATTTTATAGCAGTCGACAAAGGGCACCCCTCCCTCAAAATTAAACTGCTATGAAATTTTTCTATATATTAAAGATTAATTACAACAATGGTATTCATTATGTACAACTTTTTATCTGATGCAGATTCCACAAGATTGGAAAGCCATTAGAGCAAAATCTGACACCCAGGACAGCTCATTACCACATTTTCAAAGCTAGCCCCACGACCCCTTAATGGTATAATGATTCAGGCTCCATCTAGCTTCTCATGCACAAAATTATTTTGCTCTAGATTTTCTATGAACCTGTTTCCAAGTTAATTATTATGAAATGATCTCAACCATTTTTCAGAGTAATGTTTATGGCACCTCCTTTGACCCAAATTTAAACCTCCACCGAATGAAGCTCTTTGAAACTTGTCGCTTCCATACAAAAAAATCAGATGAACGGTGCAAATAGATACATTGGATAAAAAATGTATTTTTTATTCACTACATAAACCCAATATTTAAGGAAATGAGCCAATATTCAGTTATGATGGAGTAAAACTAGTCATTCTCGAAATGAAATCCTGGCCACATGACCACTTCCATAAAAATTTCTGGTACACTGAGAAGTAGCAACTCCATCATGAGCATATATTAACACCACCCCCCAAATATAAATAAATATGTTTTCAGATCTGTGGGTTTTATAAATTACCAGTGCATGCACGCACGCCTCCGTCCCCCCTTGAATGTACACAGCGTCTTAACTAAGTGATAAGTGGTACTGTACATACCTTGTCATGGGTATGTACATGTGTATATTTATGTCTATGTTATGCATGTAATTCATTATCAAGTGACAAAAGCGTGTTTATTGTCACTATTATATACATGCGTTTAATATTTGTTCGGTATAAAATTTAAACAAATAATTCTTAAAATATTTTATTTTATGCCAAGACATCAATCTAATTGTCTTGTTAAAGTGTGTGTGTTGGATGTCTGGGGTTGGCCAGTGGAGAGCATGTGTTGCATCTGTGTGCAAGTCAAAAGAGGGCAGCAAACCCTGCTGCCTTTGTATCAAGGTTCAGAAATTATTTAAATTTTATATCGTATTGTTTCCAGAAAAAAAAACATCTGCCATGTTCCTGTATATTTGTGTACCACATTATTAAGAGCAATATGAAAGGTGAATAATTAAATTTCTTTTAGCACCATTGGTATGTATGTAATTAAGCTTTAGTAATTTTTTTCACCTTATCAGTCGGTGAACTAGGGAGATGTCGAGAGGGGTCGTGTTTTTCAACTCTGAAAGTTTTTAATAATTTTATATATATAGTATAATTTTTGTTAATGTAAAGGAAAGATAAGAATTGTAATTACTTGTGGAGAGTACCAGTACTTATTTCTGTAACATTTTAAGTAAAGTGACCTTGAAATTGTCAGCCCAGAAGGACTTTGACTTTGTCAAACTGTTTTGGGATTTATTTTGTCAGTCCATTGGGACTTGGGTTTTTATTTTTTATTTAGACTAAGTTGGCCAAGTTTTAGTGACTTGAAGTTTGTAGTCTAGTGACTTTGAAATTGTTAGCCCATAGTGACTTGATTCTTTTTTATCAAGTACACAATGATTAAAGTTTACAACCACTTTAAGTTAGAAGCATCAAGCTGAAGTACCAATGTTTACCAAGTTTCATGTACTTTGTATATAATATTCTTGCTGTGGAGTCACCCCAGTAAACTGGTAGTTGTCTATGATCCTTGAGATTTTCCTAATCCCTAGACTTATTTACTTAAGGCCAAGTGTCTAATACAGAGAATAGAGAATATAGCACTACGAGCATTGTGACAGTCATAACAATTACCAAATATAAATATGTTCACAGAACTGTAGGTTTTATCAATTATCAGTGCAGAACCCCCCCAACCCCCCTCCACACACACACACACACACAATTGTTTGGCAAATATTTAACACCAAGTCAAGCCAGATTTTCTACTTCTGAAAATTTTCTACTTTCTGGCTTTCAAGCCAGAAAGTTCAGATCCTGTTCAAAACTAACATATATTGTTCCACTAGCTATCTATATACTGAATGTTTAAAATTTTAATTGTACTAATGTCTAAACTTTTGCCTGAAAGTAAATTATTGCCATTCTTAAATTAGCAAGATACTAGTGAGTGTGGAGATGATATAGGGAATATGTTGTCAAATTTAATGGAGTGACTAAATTAAATTTTGAATGTAGAAAATAAAGCTTTAATGTATATACAACTAACCAGGGGACAAAAATTTTATGTTAATTTATATAAAAAAAAACTAGAGAAAAACAAATATTTTAATGATTACTGACGTTTATGAAGGAAAATGACATTATTAATAATTTTAATATTCAAAAGTTAAAATGCTTTGTACCTACTTGTACCTACACAAAATGATCACATCTCTTCATATACTTATCACTAATAATATACAATCTTTTGTTATTCCTTTGGCATGCTATACTCTCAGTTCACCCAATTTCACAAGTAAAGAAACTTTCCAGCATCAACCCACCTGAAGAGTGTTAGTGCAATTTCTTTGTGAGCAATGGATGGGGAACTTGCACTTTCAAACAGGAACTGAAGGAACTCGGGCCATTTATTGTTGCCCTCATCATCGATCATATTATGTGCGAGTTCGCTGATAATATCGCAAAGTTTCTTACGCATACTTGCATCCTCCTCCTGTTGTACAGATGCTAGGAGCTGTGCTCTAACTTGCCCTTGAGCTTCTGGTGGCAACTGAGAAAAAATTAACAAAATTAAAAACATTTTACTACCTAGGTATGTTTTGAATGTACAGTACAAATTTGAATTTGTCACAAAAGTGCCTGCCTTAACACAGAATATGAAAAAGGGTGATATAATGAGCACAAAGGTGTTGTAATTATATTATTAAACCCTACACTATTATTGCAGGGTGGAGGATTTAGGGCTGGCAGCAATGGTAAAGGCAGCTGGGACTTTCCTAGCAGCACTTATCAGTATAAATGGAGTAAGGTTTGGCTCTAAATACTCTTAAATAAATCAATCTTAATGGCTTTTTTGTACATGGTGCATTCTTAAATCTCTTGATATTAGAGTTCTATGATGTATTTCCTTGTCTATTTCCCCACAGCATTTTGTGCTTACTGGTAATCATTTTATAAACTAAATTTAAAGCCTCCCCACTGTCTTAATTCTTGTTAAAAACCATCAGACAATTTTTAAGCAAATGAGTAATTTTACACTAAAACAACCCAGAATTTATGGAACATGAATATAGCATTTTAAGTTAGATGTATACAAATTTACAGCACCACACTATCACCCTATGAAAAATATCACCATAATTTGAGGATTTATGTCACAAATGATAATTCCTGTCAAAAACATGTCAAATAGTACTTACTGTGGGAAAAACCTCATCAAAATTGGTTGTAAGAAGCCTTCTAAGGAGAACTGCTGCCATAGTACGAGCATCTTCACTGGTCGCTTTGTTTACCACATTCGTTAATAGTAATTGAAACTTTGTGTCTGCAGCAATTTGGTCATACGTGTTCTGAAAAAAAAAGAATACAAAGTTACTTTCTGATCATTACAATGCCAATTCCAAATGGCATCTGCAGACTGTACAGTACAGTATTGTAAAATGCATATTTACATCTCAAAAGCTATAGTACTGCATTGTTACAAAACTTAATATTGGTCTAAGTAGGACACATTAAGAGTTAACAATGATTATCTTTAGTGTAGATGAAAAGCATTTTGCATTATTTGACACAAAACTAAATTTGCCGTGTAACTGTTTACTACCCATATATACTTCTCAAACATCTACATGTAGTTTATACCTGGGGTTTCCTTGTGACCAATCTCGAGAGTTCCAATGCTTTTTAGAGAACTACAGTATATTGGAATTACTCTACTGTTTTTGTTGCCAGCGACAAGTATGTTCACAACAATTTGGCTAATCAGGTGGTGTGTGCATGTGTGTCCTGACTGGGCATAATTTCTTGTGCGTGTGCAATTATCTAAGTGTAGTTACAGGATGAAAGCTAAGCTTGTGGAGTCCCATCTTCCCAGTACTCTTTGTTGTATAACCCTGTAACCACTGACGGTTTTTGCCTCCACCACCTTCTCACTTAGCTTGTACCAACTGTCTAGCACACTGCCCCCCTCCCAAAAAAAAACGGTTCTAATTTTTTCGGCACTTCTGTTTCCTAAGCTTGAAACCGTGTCCTCTTGTGCGTGATCTATCAGAAATTCCTCCATGTCAATTTGGTCGATTCCTGTTAAAATTTTGTATGTGGTGATCATAACACCTCTTCTATTATCTTCTAGTTTAGGCATGTTTAAATGTCTGTAGTCTCTCCTCGTAACTCTTGTTTTTGGTCCCGGAAGCCATTTTTGTAGCATGCCACTGCACCTTTTCCAGTTTCTTTATGTACGTCTTTGAGATTTGGCCACCATACAACTTCTGCAATTCCAGTTTTGGTCTCACAAAAGTCATGAAGTTTCTTTAGTATTTCACCATCCATATAATTAAAAGCAAGTCTGAAGTTGGAAAGCAACGCAAACGCTCCTCTCACAATGTTTTGTGTGTGTTCCTCTGGCGACAACTTACTATCCAAAACCACCCCTAGGTCTCAATTTGTAAGTTGTGTGTGGTCTATTTTCTCCGAATACACATTCCATAACACGGCATTTATCCACATCGAATTCCATTTGCCCTTTACTCTCCAAGCACTTATTTTATCTAGATCAATTTGAAGGGCATTACTATCGCCTCTTATCTTCCCCAGTATCTTAGCATCATCCGTATTCCTTCTGGTAGATCGTTTATGTAGACGATGAACATTACTGGTGCAGGAGCTGAACCCCGTGGTACTCCACTAGTAACACTCATCCAGTCAGATACATTGTCTCTGGTTATTGCCCTCACCTCTCTATCAGTGAGAAAGTTTTTCATCCATGTCAGAAGTCTCCCTGTCTCCAGCATGTTCCAGTTTCCAGAATAGCTTCGTGTGTGTGTGACTGGGAGGGGTGGGGCGGCGTCGGAAAGGGGGGTGGGGCGGCGTCGGAAAGGGGGGTGGGGCGGCGTCGGAAGGGGGGGGGGCGGCGTCGGAAGGGGGATGAGGCGGCGTCGGAAGGGGGGGGGAGGGTGGGGCGGCGTCTGAAGAGGGGTGGGGCGGCATCGGTAGGGGGATGGGACGGCGTCGGTAGGGGGGTGGGGCGGCGTCGGAAGAGGGGTGGGGCGGCGTCGGAAGAGGGGTGGGGCGGCGTCTGAAGAGGGGTGGGGCGGCGTCTGAAGAGGGGTGGGGCGGCGTCGGAAGAGGGGTGGGGCGGCGTCGGTAGGGGGGTGGGGCGGCGTCGGAAGAGGGGTGGGGCGGCGTCGGTAGGGGGGTGGGGCGGCGTCGGAAGAGGGGTGGGGCGGCGTCGGAAGAGGGGTGGGGCGGCGTCGGTAGGGGGGTGGGGCGGCGTCGGAAGAGGGGGGGCGGTGTCGGAGGGTGTAACCTCCAGGGTGGGAGGTTTTGTGGGTTCTTACCAAGAACTTTGACGTAAGGAAGGAAAAAAGGAAGCTGCGGGTCTTTAAGCACTAGACCTCACGTCCCCACAGTAACCCGAGGTAAACACCTCCAGCCCTTCACTCACAAGCACTTCGCATGCGAGTTCTGTACTTTTTAAGTAAAGAAAATGTCAAGAAATAAATCCAAATTCTTCTCCCCACATACACTCAAAAGTTCACAAGGACAAACCCTCCCCCCCAACATGCATCACAACACCTGATCTGCAAGAGCCTTTGCAAAACCATTTTTGGTAATGACAGGAACTAGATAAACAAGATCATATACAAGTTGTCAAACATCCAGAAGTTATTGCCAGGCACCGTCATCAGAAAAGTCCCGCACACTCTTCAGCGCCTAGTCCAGTAGCCTAATACAGTACGAGTATAACCTGATAAAAAGGAGAGGACTGCAACAACGGAATGTAATAATGAACACTAATATTACCACTGCCTTACACGACATTCAAAGAGCGACGAGTACAAATGTTCAACACAGTGGCCAGCATTTGCAACACCATTTCGGATACGACCTTCAAACTGCGTCCAACACAGTCTACCATCTTCTTAAAATACTCCTCTCTCACATTCACTCTCAAAGTGAAATACATATCAACACCAGTACAAGATCTGCTCGGCTACCGTATATTAAGCATTTGGAAATAATTTCAAGCAAAAATAGCAGCAAAATCTTAATTTAGTTCCTGACTTGGAGTAACACGGCGGGGGGGGGGGGATGGCCGCTGATGCCGTCTTACAGGTCGCGTATTTTTTAAGGTATCCTGCATTTGCGTTTTTTTAATAAAGTGAATCGTTAACAACGTTTCATAAGAGTAACTTAAATTGTATTATAGTAATTAACTAGCAATGACATATGGCGTGACCACGAAATTGCTTCCCGCCAAAAGCGATGGTGGGCTACAAAGGGTCCCTGAACCACTTCAATGACCCCCCCCCCACCCCACCCCGCCAACTCCCGGCTGGGGGGAGATGTACACAACGCTATGTTCACTCTTCTCACACACCACACATCCTCTCCCCAATGTCAATGCACCAAACAAACTACCAATATTCATAAATCCGCGTGCTGAAATGCTATCAAATTATAAAGTTTAGCACCAAGATAACGGAACCATTGATGCTAATAATGATACATTACGTACGAGCTATTAATAAGCGAGAACTGCAAAGTACTTTATTAAAATTGCATCCCTCAATCCGGCCAATTCCCACCACCTCTTAACCTAACTGTACCCATACAATAACCACCACACGTACACTCCTCCAACCCATTTGGTGGTGACGGTATTCACAGGGCTGACAAGCTGGATTAGGCATGACGATGAAACATTTTCTGCGCTTCAAAAGTACATCGATAAATAGTCGCTTATTTAATTTAATTATCGAGTCTGACATGTTAAGAGGATAAAAGTGTCCTGATGCATCGCTAAATTTAAGCTGATAATTTTTTTATACAAGGCAAGAAAGAGCGTTCGGTAGGACGCTGAGGTATGATGACGCAAGGAACATTTGAAGCGCCATGGTGTGGATAGGGGCATCCTTGTCACCCTCATGCAGCGTGGAACAGCTTCCTGCTTAAAACATGCCACTGAAAATATACATGTCTTTGCAAGTCTTCATTCATTAATGTTCCTGAACATTAGTGTTTCTGAAAGGTGCAAGTCTTAATACTGTACCAGTCCTCGCCAGATATTTACTACCGGGATACTACTGGTTTTGTTAACATTTTGTAAATCTGCATATTCAATTACCAGCCAGGATGTGATATAAGGTGTAACACTGACCACATTCTAGGTGGCGCTGTGGTGAATGTTGCCTGTCACCTCTAGGTCAGACACGTCATCCATGAGTAACCAGATACAATATCGATAAGCCACGGAATTTGCCTAATAAGTAACTGTCTCCATGCATTATGAGTAAATATTTGATTCAGTAGAATCGTCACTGCATTTGATGACTTTAAACCTGGATTTCTCCTGCGTGTAGATTTATACTATACTGTACCGAAACCTGTAATTTTTACCAAGGCAGTGGCCAGCATTGGACAATAAATCAATAAATTATGAGACTGGCGACGGTGGAGAACATCGCCAACACCCCCCCCCCTTCTCTAAGTGGACTATGAAAGTCGCTTGGTCATTTAGGAAACTCCTCCACGTCTCCTCGTCTGAGGAGAGGGAGGGATGGGGCTCGGAAGGCGGGGAAGGTATGAGAGTATCAAAAAGCGTTAGAGAAATAATAATACAATACTGCATTGTGCCATCTTTGCCAAACATTCCAATCAAACTTTACTCAATACTCTAAAATTTTCGTATTACCCAGGCATATGACCATTACCTCTACAGCAGTGGTTTCCAAACCCGGGGTCCATGGGACTACTAATGGTATGCATTACACTGTACGGTACTCTAACCCAGTATCACTGACGTGTGTTCTCAGATAAAACTGCATATAAATGCAGTTTTATGCAGTGCAATGCAGTGTAAAGAACAAAAATGCAAGGCTTGGCACATGAATGCATGCATTTGTCGCAGCAATGGCTAGTGTCAACTGTTATGGGGAGGAAAATAGTGGTTCGAACTGATTTCCACAGGCGAGGAAAATGTGGTTGGAAAAGGGAGGGACGAGACAAAAAGATCGAGAACCACAGCTCTACAGGGCCCCTATAACCTAATAGGGGACAACTTTCTAGCCGCCAACTTTTTTTATTAGTTTATATCTTTTAATAATTACTTATGTAATTACAAATCCGATAGTAAAATTTATATAATGCAAATCTTATTTTGCCATCAACACAAAAAAACACTAGGCCAAATGGATTTGTAAAGATGGTGTGAAAATTAAATAATAGGATGTATGAAAATTAAGTAAATATAAAAGATATCCGTACATGCAACATTAATCTACAAATAAATTTTACTTAACAGACTTTCTATGACCATGTAAAGTCACTTCATGTTAATCAAAACTGAATC